AGAAACCATCAGTCTCTGGTTCAGCCGCTCCGCTCTTTGGGAAGATATGATGTGAGCACCGAAGCTGCAGGAGGACTGGATAACCGCGCATCCTTTAAGTAAGTGCTTCACGCCTCACCGGCACGGATTTATGGCTCGTGGAGATTAATAACCCCTAACATAGTGCTGCTCTTTTACCTTTTTTTGCGCGGGGGTCATACGCTGCTTGCCTACCGTGGATATCATTTTCCTCTGATAATCTTATTGTGACCCGTAGCGTTCAGCAGCTAGCCTGTACCTAATATTGTTGTTCTTTCACTGCTATGACTCTACAGATGAACGACTCTTTGGGGACTTTAGGTGTAACATTACTGGAAACGACCTCTCCCTGCTGACTGACTGTTTTTATGTTATCTGCAGCACTAAACTCATGACAGATCATTTGTAGTGTAAGTGATGAGGCTGTTGTAACATTTCCAGGAGCTCTGTGTTTCCCATCCTCAGCAGCCTCATTATGTGCACAGCTTTTCTCTAGGTTACTGTGCACACACTACAGAATCTGACTTTCACCACTTGTTTTTTTCCCCCTTTGCTCCAAAACCCTCCACCAAACAAGTGTCCTGCATTTGCAGAAAGCCATGCTGACGCCCTTACCACTTCAATAAATATTTTAGCATTAGTTGTACAAATGAAACATGCAGCATCTCCCTGACTTACATTATGCACACTTGCACGCTGAGACGCGATTGGCTGCAGCTCAGCGTCTCTCCGTGTGGCAACAAGCCTTCCCCATCCACCCAGCAACTCCCTATTCCTCATGCTGTGGTGAGTCTCTCTGCCTCTGAGGGCCCTTTCTGCAGCATCCGACGTGGTAACCATGGCAACGGAGCCTGACCCTGGGCATGCTTACTACAGGCTTGACCTGGATTTCTCTCTACATGCCAGGCAGGGGCGCATGACTTGGGCAACTGACCCGCTTCTCACATTGATTGGCTGTCGAGCAGTGAGATCAGAGGCGACGATACGCTGCTTGTTCAACGAATCAATGAACTCACTTGTGATTGGCTTTGTGTCACTGGGTGTCTGAGTAATGTGTTTGTAATGTTAACACATTTGGTAATGCTGTTCTGGGAGACGAGACGGGTGCTTTGCCAGTTTTTCTAGGATGAAGACTGGCTTTTCTTTCTTTTCTTTTCTTTTTCTTTTTTTTTGAATTAATCTAATGTGCCAGTAGGTTTAATCGTTTTGGATTGTGCACTAATGCTTGGGGAAAAAAAGACATCTGAAGATGATTTCTAATCCGTGTAAGTTAAGATGATCTCTGGCTTCTTGTTGCTTGGTTTTGGAGGATTTGAGCTTAATAATGAATTATTTTTAATTACATATTTAAAAATTTTCTAAAATTAATTTTTGTTTAGCACTTTTGCCTCACATGCCTGGTTTCATATCCACCACCTGGCTGGTTTCTGTGTGGAGTTTGCACGTTCTTCCTGTGTTTGCGTGGGTTCTCTCTGGGTACTCCGGCTTCCTCCCAGAGTACAGAGACATGCAGTTAGTGGGGTTAGGTTAATGGGTGATTCTAAATGCTAAATTCCCCTTGCTGCAAATTTTGAGTGTAAATGCTTGTTTGTCTCTCTGTGTAAACCCTGTGACAGGGGCAGCCTGTCACCCCGGCAACCCTGAATTGGATAAGTGGAAGAGAGAGAAATTAATTTATTACGAAATTCTGTCCTTATTTTTTTTACTTTTAACTATTTACTTCTCTTCATTCCAGGGAAACAAAGCAATCTTTGTCAAAAATGACTGTGTTAAAGGTACTTTTTGTAAAAAACTTCTATAAACTACAGTTAAAACTTTGACCACAAGATGGCAGTGTTTTAAATGAAAATGTTAGTGTAGTTGCCTGCTGCGCCAGAATTAAATGCACAGTACTGTGCAAAAGTCGTGAGCCACCCCTCATTTGATCATATTTTGGTAGGAAATGGGACATAGGTGCATTGATTTATTGAAATATGCAAATACAAAAAATAAGAAAAAAACTGAGTTTATTCATTTCTAACAAGCTTGAAAGTCAATATTTGGTACGAGCACCTTTATTCTTCAACACAGCTTGAAGTCTCTTGTGCATCTTTCTTATCCTTTCTTCAAGTTGTCTTAAGGAACAGTTCTCCAGGCTTCTTGAAGGACATTAAACGCTCTTCTTTGGACACGATCTCACGCTGCTTCAGTAATGTTGAGCGAACCATGACTGAGCTTCCACCATGTTTTAGAGACAGGAGGCACTCACAGTTGTACCCCTCTCCTCATTTCCATAGTGGTTATTGATTTAACCACAATTTTCAAATTTGGATTCATCACTTCATGAGACCTGTTGTCACTAACTTTCAGGTCTTGTGTAATTTGGCACACCTCGGTTTCATCCCATGAACTTGGTGCCTTTTTTCTACTTGAACGATTCACGATTCACAGTGTTAAGTAGCAAGGACTGGACTGAAAATGAGTGAAGAATCAGCCAATTTCTAAAGAACTTTAGCAACATTGTTCCGTTGGATGTGGAAGATATGTTCCTGATATGCACCTGTTTGGCAGATACACTTTTTCCTGCTTTTTAAATTGAGTTTTTTTTTACTATTTATTCCCTCTTTGTTCCAGGGAAACACAGAATTCCTGATAAGCAAAGTGACCACACAGTGTTTAATATCTAGCTAGCACAAAACTGCAGATAAATATCGGCTACATATAACTGTATTAAAATGTCAGTGTGTTTGCTCACGCTGATGTCACTGGGACCGGCTGCAGATATTCAGTCGATATTTCTGCACATCCTTAGTTTCAAATATCAGCTGATTTTTGACCTTTTTTGTGTTACATTTGCTTGCCTTGCCTCCACACAGACACACACCCGCCCACCTGTGGAATTTCCCTGTATAAATAGCGGCACATTCAATATCTTCCTCTTACTGTGTAATTCGAGTGTATATGTAATTCATTTCTGGAGGGATAAGTGAGCAGATGTTGTGGATTTAGTCGCCTTTGACAGAAAATGGAAGTGTTCATAGATCCGTCGCTGCGCAGCCCACGGCTCAGCTGTAAGATCCCCGAGGTGTCAGCTTGTTGTCGGAGCCAGACTGTGTAGGAGTGCCTATTTCTGTCCTCTCTCTCTCTCTCTCTCTGTGTCTCTCTGCCACTCGGTGCATCATGACTGAAGTCAGCACGGTCAGCCTCTTTGCTTCTCTGCCTGTCAATGTGAACCCTCGTATGCAGCTTAGCGTGCAGACTTAAGAGCACTCGAAGGAGTCAGAGTACCTGCTAAGAGGGAGAGCCATTGATTGAGTTTGTCTGTGGCAAGAGATCAAAGCTTCAGTGCAAAATTAGTCTATATGCAAAATGTGAATCTGCAGCTGTTTAGATTGTTGCTCTGAAGCAGTGAAATATTTTTAATTTTTGCTTTGCAGATGTAAAGATTTCCTTGCCCTGCTTGCCCTCAGTGAAGACTAGAAGCCACTAATACAAGTGATTAGTCATCACGCAGCGATGATATTATATTGGTCATTTTTAAAAAGTAATATAATATAATAACTCTGATATTCCTCATTAATTGTGAGTGGTGTTAATTCAAAGTGGACATATTTAGGAACCGCAGGAACAGAGAAACCACATCGGCTCATAAGGATTCCTTCCAAACACAAGTTTGTCCAGGATTTACAGTCCTGTGATTTTTCTCCAGGCTTTCTGAAGCTCTTTCAAAGTTTTTCTCTTTATCACTCATTTTCAATCCAGCCCTCGTAACTGTCCAATATCAGAGGATTTTCTTTTTGTTTGTGGCGCCACTTAACTCTGGTGGGCAGTTAATACAAATAAATAATAAATAAATGAAAATACTGACAATAAATTAGTTTAAAGGAAAAAAACCCTCTGGTCTTACTTTTCTTGACAGAGTACATAATTGCAAACTTGAGCATCTTCACTGATAACTTTAGCATATTGGATAAAATAAAAATGACAAAGCTGAACTTTGGGGAGATCATCTGCAGCTGAAGGTAATGTTATTGCAATACTCAGCTTATTGCGATTTTTAACATTTTGCAATAACATCGTATCGTGGGTGAAATTCTGTGATAATATTGTATACCACTGGTAGACATACATCTTTATAGTGTGTTATGAAGGTTTCTTGTTTTTAACAGTGTCAGCTTGAGCTCTGGGAAATCTTGGTCAGCATCTAAACTATTTTAAACTATTTTCTGGTCTTTTATTGAGGGGAAAAGGGAAATAATATGCAGTGTTTCCTTGCAGTCTTGCATTAATGGAGTAATTATTCAACCACTGACAGAACATGAATTGTAAAAACTTGAATCACCTCTTTTCAAAAGCAGGCCTTCCAACACGCGCTCATCAGTATCCAAAAATAAAAACAAACGCCGGACTAAAAGAGACAACGAAAATAAACAGTGGGGGCTCGGAGGCGGGCAGGAGGTTCTAAAGGGCTGTCAGTAGCTGCATGTAGGATTTGTACGACTCTGTCACTAATGCACGATGTTTCGCACGCTGATGTTTACTTCACTGAGAGAAGAGTGCAGGCTGAAATGGTGTAAAATCAGTGTGGAGTCAGGCTGCAGATGTCTGCTCTGATGACCTAAGGAGAGGCATTCGAGCTGAAGCTGATTTTATTTATTCCCTGCGTGTGTTTCAAGACGTCGTTTAAAAGCCTTCCATTGTGTGCGTGTTTTGGGGCCGGCGAGGTCTGGCTGCCGTCGAACCATGTGAGTCACACGGCAACAATGCGATTCTCTGTCCTCTCCCCTCAGCACCGCTTCTCCTCAGAAATGAGGCTGGAATCAATAAGGTGTTTGCAGCCAGTGACCCACATTTACTGCTCTCAGATGATGAGAGGTTATCAGTAAACGAGGGATTCAAGAAATTCCTCCAGTCCTCACCGTGCTCGTGACGGATGTCGTGAACGCCTGGGTGGATTTTGTTTTCTCAGCCCGTGTTAAAGGCAGCTGTGTTCTGTATTGCAGATGTGATGGACCAGCAGAGGGCTCTGCATTCAGGTTGCCTGGTCTCAGGGGTCCGTACGCCTCCCGTTCGCCGCAACAGCAAGCTGGCCAGTCTGGGACGCATCTTCAAGCCCTGGAAGTGGAGGAAAAAGAAAAACGAGAAGCTGAAGCCCACAGGAGGTGAGTGTGACGCCGTGCACTTCCACGGGTGGCGTTAAACGCTGAAAGCCATAACATGCAAATAGTCCCACGCGCTCTCATTTCCTTATGCAGTCTGAGGACCGGTTTGATTAATGTTTGTGTTCGTGTAGCGGTGGAGAAGAAGGCAGCTGTACGGCAGAAGAGAGATGACCTCGTCAGGAGGAACCCCGGGGAGACCGAGACAGGTGCAGAACCACAGATGAACACACGTTAGCACACTAGCACACATATGACTCCAGGCTTTGCACGGTTCACTTGCTCAGCCGCATGAGGCCTAAACTGCCACGCAGACTCATTCCTGTCGCCTCTGTGTGCTATGTGCAGAGTCAGATCTTGCTTGTGGGGGTAACAGTGAGGACCTGGACACCCCCCCTCACTCTGACGGTGAGGACAGAGACGAGGAGCCGGTGGCACCGCTGGCCAACACTAATGAAGACCTGGGCAGTGATTTAGAAAGCTCAACAGGTACAGCGATGTAGGCTCAGGCTTTGTGTTCACCTTGTTGCTAGCACTATTTTCTTTTTATACATATCCTGTAACTGCCTCACAAAAATGCTGCTTTATTGCATCAGTTGTGCAAAACTGCTAAACATATTTGTCACATCTCTAAGAAACTTTAGGAAAACTGTTTTTAGCATCTTTTAGCTCATTGTTTTGATTTTATAGCTCATCTGTTTTTTACTGGATAGTCTCACATATGTAAATTCATCACAGCAAACAACAGACCCACACCACGCTGGGGGACACAGGGAAGCATTTATCGTGTAAAGATGGGAATTTCCCAAAACAGTTGGTTTATAACAAATATAAAAAATACAGGAGAGTAAATAAAGGTCACGACTTGACCAAAAGTATGGCTCTTAGCGCTTAGCTAATACTGGCCCCGCCAGTATCTCAGCCAGCTATATTTGCCATTATTTTGGTATATATATTAAAATTAAATAGAAATTCAAAAGAAAGGAAGAGATGAAAAACATTTCAAATATGTTATAAAAGTTTCTGCAACTTCCTTGTTGACATGTGTTCACAAAACAAAGAAAACAACCACCTGATGCGAGTCAGAGTATAAACAAATAATCCATGACTTGTTGTAACAGTGCAACAATTATTTTAAGGGCTCATAAATAACAACACACAACAAATGTCAGAAATCTGTTTGTTTTTCACGTGTCTGAAAGAAAATGTAAAAACATCCGCCAATGTTTAAATCGCCAAATATGGATACAGACTCTTCCTTACTTTAGTTTCTATTTTCATCACCTGATTTAAAATAAGTGATATTGATTATAAAATGGGTTTTCCGAGTGCAGTTGCGCTATGTCTCTGATTGTCCACTAGGTGGAGCCAAAGGCTTCAGAAACTCACTAAACCTTTCGGCTTACCTTCGCTGTGTGCTTTCAGTACAAGATGTGACTGAAGTGGCAAAGACAGCAGGTGATCAGAGTCAGAGTGAAGATGGAGAAGATGAAAGCACCTCAATCAGTGACCCCAGCGAAGAGCAGATGCAGGGCAAAGCCGAGGGTATCGAGGGGAAGCAGGAGGCGGCGGCGACCAAGCCTCAGAGACGAGCCAGCACCCCTCCTCCACCCAGCCTGCCTGTCAAACTGCTCACCAGGCTGGGCAGCTTAGAAGGTGCGTCCAGCAGGACTCACACTGATGTAAAACCAGCGTTCGGTATCTGACTCGATGTGTTTCGCTTCTCCAGGTGCTCCTCCAGTGCCGGTGAAGAAGTCCCCTGCCACCTTACCCAGGAACTTCACTCTGCCCAAAGACCCTCATGGCTCTCTGTTGAGAGGCAGGATCTCCACACCCACCGGGTCCCCTCACCTCGGGGCGCTGCACCCACAGCTGCCCCCCAGCTGCATCATTGAGGAGCTGCACCGCGCCCTGGCTACCAAACACAGACAGGACAGGTCAGGCTTGATGTGCAGCATTTCCACCACGTCTCTGTTTGTGTAGTTGCCAAAGAACACAAACAGCATTTTGGTCAGTGAATGGATTTGCATTAGTCCTGTTAGACAGAAACTCCCACGACAAAAATGTAACCAATGTGGAGCCAAAAAAAAGACCACAGGCGTCGTGTAAAAAGAGGAAGTATTTCTAAATATATTTCATGTATGGATTTTAAAGACCTGTTTTAAATGATGACCCCTTCAGAACAGAATCCAACTTATAATCAGCTTAATCTCACCAGCAACATATTGGGACAGTTTCTTTTTAACAAGGAGCAGCCACGTCTGACCCCCTCTGACCTTCAGGGGCAGCTGTGCTGTGTGAGGATATGCTTCACGCTCGTCCTTCAGGACATAGTGGAAGGGTTGGAGTCATATGTGAGCGTTACTCACAGACTGGAGCTGCAGGCCAGCAGGCTGTTGATTAGATTTAAAGAAGCAGCCTTCTGTTTGAGTTTGCCTCCCGTTAATGCTGACCCAGACAGTGTGTGCACGTGGACAAAGATGCTAATCTTCAAGTGCTAAAAATGAATGAAATGAGGATAAAATATGAACTTTTTTTGTATTCTAGTGCAGAAACCAACAAAATGTGAACAAGTGTTTAAAAAAAAAATGAATGAATGGACTAGAGATGGCACGATACCACTTTTTTATGTCCGATACTGATACCGATATCATAAATTTGGATATCTGCCGATACCGATATGAATCCGATATAGTGTTTTTTTTAATCAACAAAACTGTTTTTTTAAATATCTTGCTGCATTTTGTATAAGTTCATACTCAAGTTTAAAACAACAACTACACTAAAGCTATTCTGTTATACCTGTATGCAAAAAAAATATTTCATAGTTCAGCAATACTGATCAATCTAATAAACTTAAACCTGCACCATCCTCCTTATTCTGGTATTTTAAAGAGTACTTAGCGTAAATATTAAGCAACCTAACTAACAGGGTTCCAACTCCCAGCAACAACAAAAATAAATAAATAAAAAATAGGGAACCACCCCTCACGCTCCACCTCATGATGCTTAATCGACGTAATCAACCTTAATTTGATGCAGTGTGAAAAAAAAAAATGCACAGAAATCAATTCTTTTTCAAGAAATATTAAATAGATTCAACATCTTTCTTCAACAAAATTGCAGACTGCACAGATGGTACCTTCCCAAAGGAAAAAGTACTATAGCTTACTAGGGTATATATATATATATATATTAGACTTAATAGTTACTATATACAGTAATTGACTTCTATTCATTTTGCATCAAATTAAAACTTTGGGTGTCAGATAATTATTTATTAAAAGCTCGACATTTTAAATGAGAATAAGAAAGAAAAGTATGTCTTTGTGCCCCCTTTTCCCTGTTAATGCCCTATCGGCCCCCCTGGCTAAACTTTGCTAAATCCGCCCCTGCACAGTTACCAGCCGTCAGCTACATAGAAAAAGATCCTCGAGTAGAAAGAAATATTAAATACATTCTAACAACAGCTGATCAAGCTTAAACGTGCTGCTGTTGTTCAGCCGCTGGTTTCCTCTTTCTGGTGCAAAGTGGGCCAAAAGCAAACTAGAGACACGGACTCGGGACAGAAAAGCCGATCAGCTGATCCTTAATTAAGCAGTTTCATGATTGAAGTAGCAGCAAGAAGAGGCAGTCGTTTGTTAAGCTTAACGTGGGAATGCTTTACAAACATTCAGAGATGGACTTACACACTTGCTTTACTTCTCTCGGGATAACTTTGTCGGAGATGAAATGCCGGGTTGCTAGCGAAGCTCCACATGCTATCCAGACCACCGACAGGTCCCGCATGCCACAGCCGCTCTATCACGTGATGCATACTGCTCCGAGTGCTAACGTTCTGAGGTGAGTTACAGCGTGTTGCAAGTTTTGTGAGGTGCTTTCGTGATATTTAATGGATCGGATTACATTTTTTATTTTTCTCCGATATCTGATCCAGTCATTTAGGTCAGTATCGGACCGATACCGATACGTAATATCGGATCGGTCCATCTCTAGAATGGACGATTGATTGTGTTTAGTTTTCTCTAGATTTGCTTTGATGTTGGAGCTTGAACAAGGACGTGCAAGTAAATGCTTCACAGACCTATAGTATTATTGGTATTTTGAGTGTTGTTGTTGTTTTTTTTTTTTTTTAGATCTGTAAACCTGTTAGTGAAGCAGAAAACAACAGAGAGGGATTCCCGGTGTATTCAAAGCTTTTCATCTCTTATTTTGCCTTTGGAACCCAAACTGAAGCTTTATGCAGTTTAACGACTGTTTAGTGCTGTTTTATAGTTTACAGTCAGCTCATGAAGATAAATCAGTCTGTTGTTCCAGTGTCTTGGTCACAGGATTGTTACATTGTGATGCTTTAGTTGTGCGATTTCTGCCTGGGCTGCAGACACAACCTGAACTCTTTAATCACTTCAGTGACTGCTGCTCGACCACGTTCGGTGGTAAACTAACATTTCAGCTGCTCTCTGAAAGATGAGCCGTGCAGCATCTCAGTCGCTCAAACACAACAATCCACCACAGCTGTAACTGACAGACATTTCGTGACATGTGACCTCAGTTTTCAGATGAAGGAGGCGCGCTCGTCTCCGAAACGCCGTCCGGAGGGCCGCCTGTCTCGCACGTCCAGCACAGAGAAGGACCCGGCCGGAGAGTCCGAGAGCAAGAAGGAGTCTGACGAGAACAAGGAGAACTGGCGTCTGGATGAATACTTGAGCGACCAGGACAGCTGGAACGAGTCTGTGATCTCCGGTATGTGTGCCGACAGCCGACTTGTGGTATGATGTTTGCTTTACTGTTATCGCCCACGTTCTGTACAGAGCCCAAATCTGGGCACCCTGTCAGTGGATAATGAAGCTGCATAATCTGTGGTGATGTTTGTTTATACTCGCAGCCTGACGGGGAGATTTACATGGATGATGAATGGCATACTTGCTGGTGTTAAGTTTCAGAGCCTGTCAACATCTGCTCTGGTGGCCTAATTCTTAGCTGTTCATTTGGGTCAGTGGTGCTCGGACTCCTGCCGTTAGCATGTCTGCGACTCTGGGGGAAAAAATGTTAAAAGGGTGAACTGTGGAGCTCACTGGAGACTTAAATAGCACTGCCACAAAGGTTTACTCTTACCCAGAAAGGGTTAGTCGCAGAGATCGTGATGCTAATGTGTGGTGAAGGAGATGCTAACAGGATGAAAGCAGGAAAAAAAACAATGAATCAAAGGGAGTCACAGCTCAGATTTAAGAATGGTAGCAGTGCATCTTTGCACAAATCAGATATTTTTGGATACTATGAATGCCTTTAATGGCCTCTTTTGTCAAGCAGAAACATGTGGTGTTAAAACTTAGAGCCCAAAAACGGCAGTTCTTTCAGTGGACGAGCGAGGCTCGGTAATAATTTGAATATTTTTGATGCCTAAAGTTGGGTTTAGTTGACACTCCTCCGCATCAAAAGGAGCCAGTTGAGGCCCAGGATGCCTTCTGGGCATCTTGGCTGGCTTGGGAACATCTTGGTGTCCCCTCAGAAGTGTTGGAGGAGGTGGTCAGGGGAGAGGGGAGGTCCGCTGCCCTTGCGACCTGGAATGGCAGAAAATATGCGGATGCTGGGATGGGCATTTGCTTTTACCAATGATTCCAGACACAAACTCTGCCTCATGAATGTTTGTGTCAGGAAGGGCATCCACCACAAAATCTGTGCCAAATCAAACATGTGGATCCATCTGCTGTGGTGACCTCAGCCAAGTTCTAACATTAGTCTAAGTAATTGGCAGGTATCCGTGTTTGTGCACAGCAGGCATGTCACAGTTGATACTTTCATCTTTTATATGCAGTCTGTGTTCTTTTAAATTGAACATAAACTCAAAATATTTAAAACATGAAAGGTTTGATGGAGACGAGCACTCAGTCAAGGTGTGACATCTGATCTGCTCAGTCCGATCAGTTTTCCTGGTAAAGACAAAAATACCAGCTAATTTCCCAGGAAACAACTACAGCACTGGGCATCTGTGAAGGGAGGGAATTTTATGGAAATACTTCAACATGCTTCAGTCTGCAAGAGACGTGCAAGCCTGGGTGAAGATTTTCTGTATTTTTTTTAATCAAGCCAACTCAGCAAACATGAAATCAAAGCTTCACACTGGCTTAAAAAAACCCGTTAATACCCCGGAGCAGACCCGAACTTAATCCCGAGTTTGTGGAAGGTGTTTTATGTAAGAGAACGAGGGTTCAGACCTGTCCACTCAGACTCGGGCTCTAATCAAATGTGTAGCTGTTGCGAGGAATGTGTGAAAGTTCACAGGCTAATTCTTAGATGATTAGAATCAGTTTAGCAGGTTAAGCTGGAAAACTATGTGCAGCAGCTAGAAAGCCACTGTACAGCCACTGTACAGCCACTGACGTTAACTTGTGTTCGACGACGACAGGGACCCTCCCACGCAGAATGAAGAAGGAGCTGCTGGCTGTGAAGCTTCGGAACAGGCCCAGCAAGCAGGAGCTGGAGGACCGCAACATCTTCCCCGTCCGCAGCGATCAGGAGCGGCAAGAAATCCGCCAACAGATAGAGATGAAGCTGGCCAAGTGAGTCGCTGTGTGTGGAGCCAGACCAGCATCCCACCCCTGTCTGACCCCCACCCCCTCATCGTGCTCTGTCTCATGTATGTCCGTTTCATCTCTCATCATCGCTGTTGACTGCACTTTGCCTGCTTGTCTATTTCCCATATGTAAATAATAATTATAATGATTATAATAATATGAATGATAGATGTCCTTGAATGCAACACAGAGGCTTTTAATGCACATTCAGTTTGTGCCCTCAAACTGAGATGTGTAAATCTCTGCACAGTGTAAACCGGTAACAAGTACAGCAGAACATTGTTTTTACACACAACACTTTAATCACATCCGATGCGGTAAATGAGACAGAAACCATTTACAGACAAGCAGATGCACTTCCTATGACTGTGCACAGAAAGTTCACCAAGAGGGCAGATGGCCGTCAATGAAAGGAGGGAATGGAGCTAAAATATTTATTTATACCTGCTCCAAGACAAAAAGCAAACATCAACTTGGTTTTTGCAAATATTTCATTGAATGCAATATTTCCATTTATCAGAGTTGAAGTATAACAACATTAATGTTACATTGCTGTTATCACATAATTACTAGAATCCTGCTAATATATGCTCGATTGTTTGAAACAGAAACGTGTATAAAAGAAGCATCAGGCTGAGGTGGCTGTTGTCAGGCAGATCCTGCTAGAAGTTCTCTGCTCACAAATACTGTAACTACCTGTGTCAAAACTGAGCCTTTTCTATATGGAGCTTAATGAAAAGTTCCAGACATCCCAGGAATGTTCATTTTGTGGGTTACAGTTCAGCTCCTTGTGAAACTTTCCAGGAAAGGTCGTTTTCCCTCTTATTTCTGAAATACACCGGGTATCTCTGACGTAGCTTCACTCTGTCCTTTACACGTTTTCCCATCACAGCCAGAGAATTTTAAAAGCAGGACATATAATCCAGAAGGAGACTTCTATTCTGAAAATCATCCCATGTGTGTTTATCAGAGCATGTCAGTGAAACGTTCACTGAGATTCGCTGCTGCCGGTGAGAACAGTTGGTGACAGTGAGCCTAGATTGTGTTTAAAAGATGGATTTAGCCACTGTGATGTCACCCTTTATATATTTATTTATTCATTCATTCAAATTTCATTCAAATGTAGCCCTTTGGCTGCTGCCATGTTGTTTTTTTCTGGCCCAGAAATAACCGTATTTGTGCAAGAGGTTGGAGTGCTGAGTTATCAGCTTGATTAGCATTTTTCAACCCCAGTATTTGCTGCTGGAACCAGGCAGTGACCGAACACACTACAAGTCAACCTAACGCTTTTATTTTCAGGTGTCTACAGCAGGGGTCTAATCTAATCTAGTACTAAACTTTCACGTCATGTTTTAGTGATTACCAGTTTTCTTGAATATTTTTTTTTATTATGCAAAATATAAAACATCTCTCCCCTTTAAACACCCCTAAGAAGCCATCATCGTCATACAAGCGCCATCACTCTTAATAAACCTAAAAATTAAAAATAGGCCATGATACTTGATTGAACATGACGTCGAATGTGTTTGTTGCCACTTGTCTCCTAAAACAATGAATCTGAGCTAAATGGCAGTGGGATCTAGAATTTTATGAGTCCTTTCCCAAAATTCCTGCACCTCCCTACATGTGCCTTCTCCTCATTTTATACATCTGTGATGATCTTGGATCACTTTGACATAGATCACGTCAAGTGTACCAGCCATCCACATCATACAGATACAGTCGCCTAAAGAAATGGTGTAATGCCTCCATAACCATGCTCACAACAGCTACGTTCACACTGCAGGTCTTAATGCTCAATCCCGATTTTTTTTTGATCAAATACGATTTTTTTTTTGTCTGCTCGTTCACTCTACAAATAAAATGTGACAGCAAACGCGCTCTAGTGTGAACCCTCAAAGCGGCCAGCATGCGCAAAAGAAGACGTCACACACAACGCGCTCTGTTTAGACCCAGAGAAAACAGTATTGTTTGACTGATGGGCCTTAATATAAAGACTTGTTTCGGACTTTACGTTTCCCAATTTTGCTTTAAGTTATAAAGTTATTTTGTTCTTTACATATGGCCTAATAATGATCCTTATTGCTGTTTTAGAGGAGCGGTGCTTCAAAGGATAGCTGCAGATTTCTGTCAGAATCTGCAGATTATACAGTACAAATAAAATGTTCACATTCCTCCAACGTTGTCTTCCCAACACTTTCACTGGATGGCCAACAAGTGTTCACGATGTCTTCTCCGGCGCTGATAATTGGTGTCTGTCTTGTGTCAGTGACGTAAAAGACGGAGACAGCAGTCGCTTTCTAAAACATCAGATATGTATCGGATTCAGTACCACATACGAAAGTGACCCAGATCGGATTTGAAAATATGGGATTTGTGCTGTTCACACTGTCAAACCATGATCAGATATGGGTCGCAGAGGGTCAAAAAAGTTGGATTTGATGCGCTTTCGCCTGCAGTGTGAACGTAGCCTAAGTTGCTCTGTTGCGTGTAGTTCCATGTAAATAGTGCAGTCGAGTCCTACCTTTATAAAGCTCATTCATTTTTGTTGTAATGCACACCTGTGTGAATTTTACGCAGTGGAAATGTATTATGTATTATGCAGGTTTGAAAAAAGAAGGAGACACCTTTCAATGAGTGTATATGTGAGCAGGCAGAATGAATGCTAGGTTATTTGAGAGTTTCTGTGCTAACGTGGGTTTTGGTTCTTATAGCGCTTTTCTAATGAGTATTGAGCACCAAGTGATTTTTGCTACAAGCCTCATTCACCCAGTTATAGACCCGCATTCATACAAGCAGTTTTTTCCTATACCTAAGCAAACACTAACTGGTGGATGCGTCGGGGTTCAGTAGAAATCGATCGACCAACCTTCTCCTTGATAGGACTTCCTCCTGACCCAGAGCCACCCCAGCTGTTTTCCACATCAGCTGTGTGTAGATTGTAAACATAGCGATTGTTGTTGCTCACCTTTGCTTGGATGTGCTTTTCTGGAATGTGGAACAGGATTTTCTGAAAGGCAGAGCAGAAAGGCCACGCAGATCATAATAGTATTTGTCATCTTATGTAAAAGGCAATAGGCTGTTACTACGGTGACTTTAATAGGATTATAGTGACTATAAAATTAGATTTTCTTTTGTGTGTGTGAATAACACAGCGACAGGGTGTTCTGGTATGCTTCTGCAGCGTCAGAATTGAGAAGGAAAGTTCATATTTCTCCGAGTCCCCAAAATAAATGAGTTCTTTGGAACACTTTCATACCACGGTGAGATCAAGTGTGGGCGTTGGACAGTAACACAGGCTCTCTCCACAGTGAGCGACTCCGACTTTGAGGACTCACACAGAGTCGATGCTGATTTTAGAGCTGTTTGCACTTTTCTCTCAGAGGACTATTAACACATTGAGTTGTTTTTCATACCTTTGTTGATACGGGCAGCTGTGATAATAGCCTGTTAGCAAAGTGTTCACACCTCACTTGTGCTTCCGAGGCTGCTAAGTGCTGTAATTTGACGTTGACCCGCTTTCAGCGAGCTGAAATAGAAGCTATTGTTCTCAGAGAGTGACAAACAAGTGCCAGTTTCTAATTAGCTTCTCCAAATGCATCGCTACGGCTCTCAGCTCTGAAGACTGAATTACAGTAAACGTGTTTTCTCAGCTGAACAGCTTCAAATCATGTTGCAGTGCAGAATGCTGTGACATTTTCTTCAGTGATAGCTTATTATATGTGCATATGAAAGCCTCTAAATAATGCAATAGTTAATAAAGCACCTGCGTTATACTGTAATGCTGTTTGCTTTTGTTGAACAGGCTCCTTTAAGAGCAGTCTACTGCTGTAATCAGTCAGTTTGTAGTAACCGTGGGTCGGACCACTGCGTGTGATGTGCAATATGCATTGTGATGATGATGATGATGATGCAGAGGATCCTGCCGCTTTACAGGTCCTCTCAGCTCTATGGAGAGTTTTAGCTTCTTTGAGCTTTTTGTTTTGATTTTATTCATATTTCTCAGCAGAACAAAGAAACTGCTGAAAGGAGGCTTTAATTGTACTTCAGATAAATGCCTCTGCTGTTCTGTGTTTGCTGTGTTTCATAACGAAGTTGTTGTATGTTCCTCTATGAGATGATCGGGAATCTTTGTGGTTGCAGTTTCGCTTGATTTGTAATGCTACAATCCAACAAATTTCTCTTAAAAGCACTTGTTTACTTTACTGAATGTAACGCTGTGCTGTTATAGACTGACTATAAGGGCTGCTCAGTTCCCATGCCACATTCTTGGCTTTCTATGAGAAAGACTAAGACTAAATCACTGGAGGTTCATCTGTGGAGGATATGAGAGACACTGTGGTGATTCTCACTGTGGAGTCTGCCCGTGAACCAAACCACAGACAATAAATGGGAAGTTAAGCGGCGGATACCAATGTGACTCTAGTGTGTCTCAAGTGTTGTTGGAACTATTTTTTACCAGAGTCAGGTGGTTTCCGTCATTGGGTCTTTCATGTTCACACAGACGTTTTTTTTAAATCTTAGGTTAGATAAGATCACCATTGATTAAAATGTTGAATAAGCAATAAAATGTTGTTTGTCATACATGAGGGGCATTTCAAGTCTTATACAATAAAGATGCTTTCTAAATATGAATACTTCATACTTTAAACCAGTGTTTCCCAACTGGTGTGCCGCGGCCCACAGGTGTGCCGTGAGAAATGATCAGTTATCTGGTTCCACCTGATTAGTACTCGAGCGATCGGCTTGAGTAACGCGCAGAACAATTACATACCTGCTCTAATTGATTGGGTTGCAAACTGCCAGTTTAACAGAAGTCCTGGAGAAAATTCGGACCCAGATGAAGGCCCTAGCATGAGTAGTGGTCAGAAGAAAGCAAAAGAGGTATAACTGGGGACAAACGAGCCTGGTGTGCGGGAACATGCCGTGTGACTTTTCTAATGTGAAATATGTGCAGTGGCTCTAAAAGGTTGGGAAACACGGGT